TAGGGCTTAAACAAAGTATAAACTTGCAAATGATACAAAGATTCGTTAAATATCTATGGTAGTGTAATTCAATCAAATGTCAACGCACAAAATCATCAACAAGTAAAGCAAAGTATACCAAAGAGATGGAGTAATATTGGATTAGAGAAACGAAAATTGCTTATGTACAGACAAAAATTATACCTTATTCTAGGAGAATTCGCCTGCAAAAACAAAAATTTTAAAATAGAATACCAGAAATTAGTTCAATTTCCCAGAAATATCAGAAAGGATCAAGAAGAAGAAAACAAAAAAATGAGCCCTAGAGACTCACCATTGATGAGCAGCTTAAGGTACAATAGACTCGCGACAGAGACGGATAGAATTAGAGATTTACTGTCAGAATAAAGAAGAACATGTAAAGTACTATTTATGTGGTAATTCCTTTATATAATAAGATGAGAATTTGCACTTAATATGGATTGTAACCTTATAAGCCCTTCCCATTAAAATTTTATTCAAAAAGATCCCTCATATAAAACTGATTTTTGTTATGATTTTTTTTTTAATTTAAAAACCGGTCAAATACTAAATAACCCTTAATGAATCTGCATAATTACTAACCCAGCCAGACATCCGAACCGGAAACCCGTATTTTAACCCAGATCCGAGTAATAATCGGATCTTATTGTTAAAACCTGAAATCGAAAACAAAACGGATAAAACTCCCCTTTTTTTTTATCAATTTCACCCTTCTCTTCTTCTCTCTTTGCAAAAAATCCAAAACCAAACCGTTACAATCCCGTCTCTCGTGTTCTTCTTGTTCGCTATTATTGTTGCTGGCATTCCATCTCCGACTCCATCACCGTCTATTCAAGGTGACCATCAATCTCTTGAATTTCAGAAAATGGGATTGGTTTTGATTCCGATTTCGAATTGGTTTTTGGTTGCAAGAAGGGATTTTTGATTTCTAAAGGAGATGCGTCGGGTTTTGATTTTGATATATGTATCGGGTTTGAAATTAGGGTTTGAAGAAAAATCAATTTGGGATTTTGATTTGTAGCGTGGTTTTGAGGTTTGTCAGAAATGTATGGGTTCAGGTTTGAAACTAGGGTTTTAAGTAAAACATTTTGATATGTTATGTCGGATTTCGAATGGGTTTTCGGATTTGATATGAATTGGGAAAAGATAGTTTTGTGTCTGTTTTGATTTAAGATTTGTTCGTTGTTGTGGATTGAAAGCCGGATTGAACTAGTGTTTTAAGTAAAACTAGGGTCTTTGTCTTGTTCTTCTTCTTTCTCTGTCTTAGGATTTCGAATGGGTTTTCGGTTTTGATATGAACTGGGAAAAGATAGTTTTCTGTCTGTTTTGATTTGGGATTTGTTCGTTGTTGTGGATTTTGCAGAAATGGGTCCTAAGACCATGGGAGGAATTTCGAGGAGGAAAA